TGGCTTTACCAAGTCACCAGGAAGCTGCAGAAATCACAAATATCCTTTAGACCTCTTAAAAAAAAAGACCACAACCTCTATCAGTTTGTCAGAGGCAAGATCTCAGCCTTGTCATTCCGAGCTATTTTCAACCACTTTTTAACCCCAAATCCTAGAAGATTGCATCCTGGGAATAACATAGGTRCATTTTAATGCAGATGACAACATGTTTCACGTTCATCAGTTATGATTATCAACACTTTGCTTCTGGAGGATCAAAAATACCCAAACAAATGCCAAACAAAGTCCAAGAACATTTATTTAAATGAAGGGCTTGGGAAGCTGATTCCATTCCTACAACAGGAAATGTGACCAACACTCAAAATTGCCCTTGTCCTGGAAGTTTATTTTGCCCCAACAGCTTTCAGCCCCAAAACCTTGCTGTGTTTTGATGAGCTCTGCAGTCACATTCCTGAGCCCAGCTGAGCCCAGGGCTCTCAAAGCTTTCACGGATGTGCCTGAGCTCAGCACAGCAAAACCACATGGAAGAACAACCTTCACTCCGCTGCTCCTGGCGCTGGTTTGTGGCTTTGTTCCTCAGAGCAGCACATGAGACATGTTGAGCACCCATCACCTGGGCTGAGCCTGCTGTCMTCGGGATCCCCAGCTGAGGAAAAAGGCAGAGGCACAGCAAACACAGCACAACAGAGGAAAGAGTGAGGGAAACAGCAGTGATGGAGGAGGATGCAAAGGTCACAGAAAGCTGKAAATGTGGCATTCACAGGAGGCTGAAGGAGCCCAGCCCAACCCATGGCCTCACCTCTCCTCATGCAAGAGCAGAAATGCACCCCACTGCAGCCCTGCTCCCCACACTGCTGAGCCCTGGGCACACATCTCTGGGTGTCCTCCCGTCCTCTGGGCATAAGAAAGGCACAGCAAGAAAGACCAAAAGAGCAGGGAGGAAAGGTAAAATATCGGCACAAGAGGAGTCAGTGTTCTCCTGGTTGCATTTTCTCATCAGCAGTTGTGTAGTCAAACTTTCATTATGAGTTTGAAAGGATCCCAGGACCATCAGAAGAATCTTTGCTCCGAGCCAGGACCACTGGGGGTCTGACAGTGCTGCAGAATATCTCCATCTGTGCAGAGGAGATGGGGGGACCTCATTCCCAAATGAGTGYAGAGTCCGTTTTCCAGGCAAGTTTATTTCAAGTTTGTTTCTCCATRGGTTAATTAAAAGAATAACAATCCCAGTTTGGAAAAAAAAAAAAATCCCTTTCCAACAGCCGAGAAACATTTCCATAAACAATGTAYAATTATAGTGCAAATCAGAGCATCCAAAGCTCGTGGCTGTTACACCAAACCCTTTGGAATCTTTCCTACTTTAAGTCCTCCATACTCTGTCYCTGCAAGTGCTTTATCCCATCTCCTTACTCACATCTCTGGCTCTTTTTCAGGTGAATAAATAAGAAATAAAAGGAGTGATGATAGGATCAGGCACAGGGCAGTGAYGTCCTACAAAGAAGGGTCCTGGAAGTCTGCTAAATGACAGTACATGGGATTCTGGCGTAAACTGTTGTACACATAGATGGTAAGCTTTGGRAAAACCTTCAGGAAATGCTCACCATAGTCTCCTATTTTGTTGGTGATCCTGAAAGAAAAAAAAAGCAAAAAGGGTATTTAAAGTTTGTCCCACGAGTCAATATTCTAGGATACCCTGCTTTCTCCCTTGTGGAGCAAAAGCCATTCCAGAGGCTTTCTGTTAACATGGGAAGGTTTCCTAGAAACCCCAGAATTGCAACTTTTCTATACCTTTGCTAAACTCCTTGATCTCGTTTTATAAATTCGTGTTTGGTTGGTTTTTGTTTGTTTGGGTTTTTTGTTTGGTTTTGTTTTTTTTGTTGTTTTTGTGGGGTTGTCGGGGGGGTTATTTTGTTTGGTTTGGGGGGTTTTTTAGTTGT